TCATGATGCATCATTATTGGAAAATTTGAACGAGGTGTCTGGATACTTGCCTGTTAATATTCCGAATGGAGACAGCGTAGCAGTCAAGGATGTTGGTGATCTCAGTTTGTCCAACGGGATGAAGCTCAACCGAGTCTTGAGCATCCCATTGTTTAAGTGCGATCTCTTGTCCGTCAATAGGCTAACACAAGATTTTGATGTGGCATTAATATTTTTACGGGATTTCTGCGTCATTCAGGACTCACACTCCAAGAAGATGATTGGGACGGGTCAACTCCGTGATGGACTTTATTATCTTCGGCTCTTTGGGGCTCAGGGATCTCATGCTATGGAAGCCAGTGGTGATGCACGAATGGGGGAGCTATGACATTCCAGACTTGGCCATCCTACGCCGAAGAAGAGTTCTTTTCTAGCTATTCCAAATAAATGTTCAGTTGCATCTTCTGGCTCTTGTATGCGAGCTAAACAAACTCGGATGTCTTTTCCTAAGCACTCTATAAAGACCAGTCGCTGTTTTGAGATTATTCATGTTGATATTTGGGGCAGTTTCAAGGTCCCTACTTCGGATAAAGCACATTATTTTCTCATGATAGTGGATGATTTCAGCCGTGCTACTTGAGTTTATTTGATGAGCTATAAGTCTGATGTTGAGGGGTTTTGAAAGATGTTCATTAACATGGTTGGCACGCAGTTTAATCAGCAGGTTGCCTGTATTCAGGCCGACAATGGGCTCGAGTTCCAAATCGCAGGACTGGAAACTTTCTATGCTGATCGGGGGATCATCCTTCGTACTTCATGTACCGATACACCTCAAAAAAATGGGGTGGTTGAGCGTAAGCATAAACGCTTGCTCGAAACTGCTCGGGCTTTACGTTTTCGTGCTAACATTCCCCTCTGGTTTTGGGGTGAATGCGTACTGACGGCCACTTACTTGATCAACCGCATGCCATCAAAGGTACTTCAGAATCGGACCCCATATGAGGTTTTGCTTCGCAAGTCACCCTCTTATGATCATCTGCGCATACTTGGGTGCCTAGCTTATGGGAAGGATACTCACCATGGACTTTTGAAGTTTAGTGAACGTGGGCGCTGTTCCGTGTTCATGGGGTACCCGACCTTTCAGAAAGGCTATCGCCATTATGACTTGACTTCTCGCACTTTTTACACCAGTCGTGATGTTCGCTTTGTGGAAGATGTCTTTCCTTTCCACGTACAACATCCTTCGGTTCCTTCTCCCATTCCCACAGCGCCTCCTGTTGCTGTTCATACGGAGGACGCCCCGATCACCGCCGCGCCTGTTTCTGCTGACCAGGATGGTCCGACGGAGGTTCCCCTGGATCCCTGCTCCCCTACTTCAGCTGCGGAGCCTGCTCATCTCCCCCAGCTGCGGAGCCCTGCTCCTCTTCTCCAGTTGTGGAGTCTGCTCCTCCTTCGGTTACAGAGCCTGCCACGGTTCCTCGTCGCAGTGACCGGCATCATCAAGTTCCCCATAAGTTTGATGGCTACGACGTTGATCTGCCTCCTTCGAATGTCCCCTATCCCATGAGTCACTATGTGAATTACAATGGTTTTGCTCCCCATCATCGCAGCTTCCTTGCGGCTGTGTCTAGTCATTTTGAACCTGCTTATTTTCGAGAGGCGATGCGCGATCCTGAGTGTTGTAGCGTCATGCAGCACGAGATTGATGCTCTTCTCGCTAATGGCACGTGGTCCCTTGTTTCCTTACCCCATGGTAAGAAGGTGGAGGTGTGTCGTTGGGTCTACAAGATTAAGTACAAGGCTGATGGGAGTATTGAGCGGTACAAAGCTCGCCTTGTCGCCAAGGGTTTATCCAGACTGAAGGTATTGATTATCATGATACATTCGCGCCTGTTGCGAAACTGGTTAGTGTTCGCGTCCTTCTCTGTGTCGCCGCAGCTCGAGGGTGGACTGTTCACCAGCTTGACGTTGATAATGCCTTCTTGCACGGTGATCTTCAGGAAGAAGTTTACATGCATATTCCGCCTGGTTTTGCAGCCCCCGGGGGATTCTCGCGTTTGTCGCCTTCACAAGTCCATCTATGGCTTGAAGCAGGCGTCCCGTAATTGGTACGCCAAGTTTGCTTCAACTCTCGTTGAGCTTGGTTTCCAGCGCTCTCGCACTGACTACTCCTTGTTTACTCATCGGCATCATGGTACGTATGTCGTTGCGTTAATTTATGTAGACGATGTCATTCTAACTGGGGATGATCTCGATTTTATTCAGACTGTTAAGTACAAGTTGCATAGTCGCTTCGGCATTAAAAATTTGGATCCCTTGAAGTATTTTCTTGGTATCGAAGTGGCCCGCTCTCGGCCTGGTATTGCATTGAGTCAGCGGAAGTATACTTTGGATCTTCTGCGTGACAGCGGTCTCACCGGCAGCCGCCCTAGTAGTTTCCTATTGAGCAACATCATCAGCTCACTCGTCCTCATGATTCCACGAGTTCCGGAATTTCCATAGATGATGCTGCAGCTTATCGTCGTCTTATCGGGCGGCTTCAGTACCTCACTGTCACTCTTCTGGATATTGTCTATGCAGTCAACATCCTTGGCCGTTCTGTGCACGATCCCTTCCCTAACCACCTTGATGGTGCGGAGCGTGTCCTTCGTTACCTGAAAACCGCTCCAGGATAGGGTATTTTTCTTCCAGCTTCAGGTACCCTTCCTTTACGAGCTTATTGTGACGCTGACTGAGGTGGCTGTCAGACTACACGTCGTTCTACTTCTGGGTATTTGTTACTTTGGGTGATACTCTCATTTCTTGGTGTACTAAGAAGGAGTCTGTTGTTGCCCGCTCTTCGGCTGAGGCAGAGTATCGGGCCATGGCTGGTGCTGTCAGTGAAGTGCTCTGGTTTCGAGCTCTCCTTCGTGATCTTGGCGTGTTTTCTTCTGGTCCGACGGTTCTTTCTTGTGATAATCAGGCTGCCTTACACATTGCAGCTAACCCTGTGTTTCATGAACGTACAAAGCATGTTGAGATGGACTGTTATTTCGTTTGCGAGCATGTCACTTCTGGTGAAATACTTCTTCAGAAAGTTTCCTCCACAGATCAGCTCGCTGATATTTTTACCAAAGGACTTGCTGGTGATCGTTTTCATGCGCTTCTTTCCAAGCTGGGCATTTGTAACCTCCACGCCTCAGCTTGTGGGGTAGTGTAGTGATTGTAACGACGTCGCATTAGTAGCAGCCGATGGGTCAAAGCCCATCTTCCTTGTTTTGGCCCATGCAACGTGCAGGTCTCCTTCCATGAGACATAGTAACGAAACCCTAGTTGAGTGTACAGGGGAATGAGTTCTATCTCATAGATATTTGTAAACTATAATCGGCTGCACTACTAATGAAAAAGCTGAGATAGCATAATTTCTCCGTGGAGTAAGCTCATTCACATCGAATGAGACGAACCACGTAAATATCGTGTGTCGCTCTTACTATTTTTCGTTATCGTCAATTCTTTCACCTGCAATCAAAAATAGTTTTCGTTTTGACTTCCTTATCTTCGGCTCTTGTTGTCACAATTGCTAATTTAATCCATTTCTTAAATATTTATGCATATATATTTATGTAGATCGAAGTAAATAAGGAGAAGCTAACAAGATATCAACAATGTGAAAATAATAATCCATCAATTGCACATATTAAAACGTTTACAAATGATAAAATCAATGTAGAAGTTCAATTCATGGCCACTATATTAGGCCTTCAATCATTAGTATAGTTGAAATGATACCACGAACAAGTTACACCCTCTCATCTTACATATATAATTTGCCTAAACAGAAAAAAAAATCAATTGAAACTAATTTGATTTCAACCCTACTTCATTACTTCTCAGAATTATCCGTTTCCACAATTTCGATAGTTGTCCCGGAAATAATAATTTTCTAATTCTTCCTATAATTATTTTATTACCAATTCCGGATGATTAAAACAAACTTTAGTTTTACTAATCCAAAACGAAGAGCCGAATCTAGCTTTTGCGAAATAGCTACGGTCGGGATGAGATTAGGTGCTAACCTCTTAAGAGGTTAGCACCATGCTAACTATGCTCACATTCAATTAATTAAAGGTTAAATTGGTAAAAGACTATGGCCATTAGCTAACCCTAATGTGTATTCTATTTCTATCCCATCCCACAACAGCCGTCACCCCTTCCTCTATATTGAAACCGTCGTTCTGCATCTCTCTCTATCTCTCTCTCTCTCTCTCTCTCTCTCTCAATGAAAGAAGGAAGATCCGGATGCCGCCGTTCCACAATGGAAGATGATGATTTCAGGCCAGCACAGTGGAATTTGGGACCATGATGAAAGGGGTCTTGCGACGGAGGGAGAAGCGGTCAGGCTTCTGACATCGGAGAAGATCTATCCGGTTTTCGCAGTTCCACAATGGAGAAGGCATATCCGGCCATGGCGGTGGAAGCTAGATCCACGACGGAGGAAGGCGAGGCTGGGCTTCTGACGTCGAAGAAGGAATATATATTCGCTTGTCGTCGTCCTACCACTACTGTCGTCAATCGCTCACGGATAACATGCCAGAAAAAATGAGAACTTTTTGTTAGATCTATATTATTATTTGATTAGTAGTGATTTTGGATTTGTAGTGATTGTGGAGTAGTGATTTTCATATGTATTAGCAGTTGAGCAGTCATATTTGTACGGTATTAGTGTTTTTTCTTGATGTGTAGTTATTCCAGTAGTGGTTTACTCCTACCTAATCGTATTAGTAGTGATTATGTTATCATTACTTTCTAAAGTTCACCCATCATGAGTAACTTAAAATTTCTAAATCACTACTAATTACAATTAAATCACTACAAGAACAAATAAAATTGCTAATACAACCACCAAAATCACTATCAATGAATGTAGCAGTAGTTTACGGTACTATTTTTCAGGCCTACTACTAAAAAGAAAAGAAAATATTTTAAAATTAAATTTATTAATTAAATTAATTTTTTATATACCAAATATGCCCCTCCTTATTCTCCAGCATCGTATTTTAATTAAAAAATAATAAACAGTGATTATAGTGGTTAGTACGGTGCTAAGTTCAATGAAGTTAGCACTCTAACGAGTCCTTCCATAACTATTAATATTGAATGCCATAGAACAGAGTCAACTTCGATCGCGACACTAAGCAAGAAATCGGAAACTTGGGTCGGCAGAACAATTTCCACGGCAAAAGAGCGCTTTCCTCTTCGAAATCGGAAAATTTGTGTTTTCGAAGTTAATTAATGTTTGTCAGTAATGTTGATAGTATCGATTCTTTTCAATTCCTGTAAAGTCGAAACAATTTACATTATCAAAAGGATTGTGACGCTATATATGTTCATAACTTCGTATACAACCCACCACCCCCCCCCCCCTCCTGAAAGTTACCCTAATGGTAATGGGTGACGTTTTTTCCTTTTCAAGTTGTCTTATAAAGACAAAAACCTATGTCTATTCTTCAATTATTTCGCCATTCGATGTGATCTCGATCGAAATAAGTTGCGGTATGGTGGTTGATACCGTAGTTTTTTCCTTTTCTTCTAACAATATCGTAAGGAGTTTGATTTCTATTTATAGTGACATGCTAACTTATTAGTTGATGAGCACTTCTATTATTCTAAAAAGTATTGGTGCTTTAATGTACAGTTTAAAGTTGTACCACAATGTTAAATGTATAAGTTCAGGTTGTACCATATAAGAATTTGTACAATTACGTTATCGTACAACTTCACAACTTGAAGTTGTACCATCACATAAAGGTACAAGTTCAAGTTGTATCATAAAAGAATTTGTATAAAAATTCAAAAGTATAGATACAATCTAAAGTTGTACCATAATGTTAAATGTACAATTTCAAGTTGTACCATAAAGACAAAAACCTATAGCACCAATACTATATAGCATTGTAAAATTTCTCCTACTTTGATAACTTTGATTTATCCATTAGGTGGTCAGCATAGTGACATTACGTGGAATGTTTCACAAGGTTCCTACTACCTAGTAAGTATGTCCAATTCCACCTTAATTGATATATTTGAGGAGAAAACCTAATGGCCAGAGTATTCTAAATAAAATGACGTTGTTTTAGTGATTATAATTAATACAAATGAATTTATTAAATATTTTATGAATATAAAAGTTAAAATTTGATGCAATTTGTTGGATTCAGGTATAAACGTTTAAGTATTGACGTTAAATGTTGCATTTAAATATGTGTATTTGTTATTTATTTCGAATGTCGTATTTTATTAAGCCGACATAAACCGGCACAAATCGGTTTTACCACTGGTCGTATCATTCCACTCTCTAAACCAGTGCAACTGTATAAACCGGTTTGACAACCTTGCTTGGACGTGTTCGAGGAATAGGATTAGTTGTTAGGTTAGCAGTCTAAGTCAGTAACTCGGATCAAATTAGTTAGTCATTTCAGATATTTGTTGAGGTCATGGGAGTTAGTAATTAGTAGTGGAAGCCGAGATTGATGGCTTGAGTAATGTGCTTATTGTTCAAACTTATTCTTCAAATGTAAATAGAAATTTTCAATTTGTCCCAATATTCAGCTTTTAGTTACGCACATAAATTCAACACGCATTCTCTCTCCAAATCATCTGCCTATATAAGCTTAAAATATATTGCATAAATAAAAACAAAGCATTATTTACCCAAAAGAAGAAGAAGAAAGAAACATAACAATATTATCTTCAGCAGAAATGTGCATCGGAGTTTTCTCCCTTCTTCTTCTGGCAGTCCTGATGTCGTCAGGAATTGGCCTCGCCGCCGCCGCCGGACTGGCCACCTTTGTATTCGGCGACTCCTTACTAGATCCTGGAAATAACAATTACATTTCTACCATCTCAAGGGCAAATTACATTCCTAATGGTATTGATTTTGGCGGTCCCACCGGTCGATTCACCAACGGTAGAACCATCATTGACATTCTAGGTACGTAACCAAGCTCTTTCATATTGCGAAGACCGCTACACTAGCAATTTTGTTAAAATGCCCATATGCGTCTTTTGAGAACGTGCTCGCAAACATCTGTAGTCGTTCAATCGTGTGCGAAAAATGAAAATCACCGTACACACGATCCAACGACTCTGAATATTTGGAAGCACGTTCTCATAAAACACCTTTGATTGCACTGCGCTAGCTACCCTTTTCATTTTCTTGTCGTGTTTCTGAAAAAAAAAAAAAAAACTTACAGGTGAGAAATTGAGTGGAGGGTTTTTGACTCCTCCTTATATGGCTCCCGATACCAAGTGGCCGGGGATTCTCAAGGGCGTCAACTACGCTTCCGGCGCCGCCGGGATCCTCAATGAAACCGGAAGGATTTTTGTAAGTAGGAAAAAATAATTTCATTATGTTACCTTTCTCGTAAAAGAATTCATGGTAATACTGAAATTTGCTCATCTGTGTATTCACATAATGTTTATCGTCATTTGGAGACTATTTTATATCACTTCAAATTTCAAGTACTGATGTTCGAATGAAACGATAAATTATGAGCAGGGCGGAAGGATCAATATGGACGCTCAAATTGACAACTTTGCCAACACGAGGCACGACATTATATCGAGAATCGGCCCAGTCAAGGCTCAACATTTCTTCAATAAGGCAATGTTCGCCGTCTCGATTGGATCGAACGACTTTCTCGACAACTATCTGCTGCCTCTGTTCGACGAACCAAAACCTCCCAAAGTGTTTATCGCCTCCATGATCCAGAGGTTCAAACTCCAACTTACAGTAAGTATTAGTTTCTATGAACATGTGCTTGCTCAATCCTCCTCATCATCCGAGCCGAACCGGTATACTATACAAAAATATGAAATTGAAACGAAAATCCAAAAAAAAAAATCTTGGGCAGAGGTTGTACAATTTGGGTGCTCGGAAGATTGTTGTGGTGAACGTGGGTCCTATCGGGTGCATCCCATACCAGAGAGACGTGATGGACTCAGGGGACGAGTGCGCGAGCAAGTCGAACGAGTTGGCTCAGTCGTTCAACTCGAAGCTGAGGATACTTATTCGACAACTCAGTAGAGTATTCAAGGGAGCACATCTAATTCACGCCGACGCTTACAGCATCGTCAACGACATCATCACTAACTACACTTCCTACGGTTTCGAGAATGCATCCACAGCTTGCTGCCGCCTGCTTGGGTCGCGCCGAGTGCTGGGGTCGCAAGGCGGCCTGATCCCGTGCATCCCGCTGTCGACAGTTTGTCAGCGCCGGAACAAGTACGTCTTCTGGGATCCTTACCATCCGTCCGACGCTGCAAATGTGATCATAGCCGGACGGCTGCTAGACGGGGACCGTAAAATCATTCGGCCAATGAACATTCGCCACCTGGCTTCAATCTGAATGGAGGAAAAGAGGAAAATTGGGTTATGCCTTTTTTGGCTCTGACGATCGACCTCAGCTCACCATGATAGAGTTAGCAATGATGGCATTGGTTACTCATAGATAGTCCATCTTTGAATCAATGAAAAGTAGTGAACAAGAGCCAATAAAAATTATATTGATCCGTATTGAGGTCAAATTTCGAATTTGCTTTTTCCAATTCGATTCGTGATTGTTATACGACTTCGAGAGCGAGTGGTTGGTGGTGGTTAATTGCATTGGTCACATTCCCCATCCCCTCCCTCCCATTGCGAAGATGAAACCCTATCATGCCTCAGATATGAAAAAGAGAAGATTTCAACTAATATATAAGCATGGCGAATAGAATGGAGTTCAATCAAATAGTTAGGTTCTGGTCTATCTCACTTGATTCCTCCGCACTACCATCGCCCAATGGTTTTGTCTCTCCTATATCGATGAACTACTAGAAGAATTATTTTGCTACTCCTATTGCCGAAGACGATGTTTGATCATTTATATCTACCTCCTTTACTCCTCTTCCTATACCAGACTTTGAACTTTAATGGGTTTTGTGTCTTCGTCCAAGGTTAATCGCTTCACATATGTAAGTCATTCCTTTCTTCTCTTTGTCTCATGGTTTTATCTTTCTGATTAATAACAAAATGACTTTTATTTACAGGTTGTCTCACGTGTAGAACATGCAGAAGATCTATTTCTTTTGATCCTATTGCCTAATACGATGTTTGAAGCACAGTGGATCTCTTGCGTCGTTGCTCCTCTTTCTATTCTTAGGTTTCAACTATAATGACTTTTGTATATTCATAGAATGTCCATTGAGTTGAACTGGTAGGCTATTATTTCCTTTCCAATTTATCTAAGTTGTTTGTGATTGATTTATAAAATAGACAAAAATATACTTGTATAAACATAACTCTGCACTTTGTGACAATAATAGCTAAATTTTAAGAAATACACAGATCTAACCAAATTTAGAAAAATAGTTTGATAAATTTAGTCATTTCCCTTAAAATCTTTAACACCGTTAGTGACTCTGTCAATAAAGTGAATGTTACTATGAAGTGCATGCCACCTCAGCTCCAACAAGACACACCATGCCACCCGGACGCCACGTCATATTTTAATTAAAAAATACATTAATTTATTTTATTAAAGAAATTTCATAAACAAATCCCTAAAACCGCCCCTGGGGTAAAAAATTGTTAGAGTATGTGTAGTACGAGTAGTATTATGTTATACTACGAGTACTGTTATGTAATTGGTCAGGGTTATATTCCTTATCAGAGTCGTATTAGTGTTAGGGTTATTATAGAAGTCAGTCTTTGTACTCTATATAAACCCTATGTGGTGTCAGTAATAAGATACAACAGTTTCCACCGTATTCTGATTTACCAACATGGTATCAGAGCCTGATTCAAAAACCTAATCGAGGAAACCCTAAGCTCTTTTTCTTCTTCGGCCGCCCACCATGAGTGCACAGTCGCCCGGGACCAGATCACAGTAACTGATGGGTGAGTAACCCATCAGTAACCCCTTCCTTTGTCTCCACGTGTCAGCCCTTTTTTTATTTAAATTAAATGCGAAAGGACAATAAGGTAAAATTGCACCTAGCTCTATTTATTGCTAACGCTGACTTTTCACCGGACCACATCAGCGCCTTCTCTCTCTTCGAAAAACCTTTAATTTTCCTTCTCTTAATTTTTAACGGACGATTTCTCACTCATTTTAAGTCGGAATTTAATTTTTTTTTGCACAGTTAGATCAGATTAATTGTGCTCTTTAAAATGATATCCACTTTGATATTTTTTGGACATAAAAAATTTGTCAGTTATTACAAGTCTATACCATATGGTATTGACTGGTATTGACCATACCATATGGTATGAAAAAATTTGCCACATTAATATATATTACGTTACCACCCAATACCATATGGTATAGTGTGGTAATATCGATATATATTTCATTACCACCCAATACCATATGGTATAGTGTGGTATATTTCATTACCACCCAATACCATATGGTATAGTGTGGTAATATCAATATATATTTTGTTACCACATAATACCATATGGTATAGTGTGGTAATATCACACAATACCATACAATACCATATGGTATAGTGTGGTAATATCAATATATAATTCGTTACCTCACAATACCATACATTATAGGGGTGGCTATTTGGACCGGGACAGGATTAAAAAGCAGAAACCGGACCGTATAACCCGGACCGAGACCGGACCGGGACCGGATAGTAAACAATACAATCCAATCTTTGGTCTTAGATTTGAGGTAAAAAACCGGATAAAGACCCGATAAGAGAGCTCAACATCCAAAACTTAAGGATAATTTGCATAAACGGTCACAAACCTTTGCACTTAGTACAAAACTTAACCAACTCCTCACCCTTTAAGGCCTTAGGCCACTCAAATCCCACAATCTCAATGTAAAATCAAGACCGAATTGGGACCGGACCGGATCAAAACCGGACCGCATCAAGACCGGACTGTATCCAATCCAATTTTCGGTCCTTATATTTTCAAAAAGACCGGACTGGACCGGATCAATTTGGGCCAATTTAACCGGACTGGACCATATAGCCACCCCTAATACATTACCATATGGTATAGTGTGGTAATATCAATATATATTTCGTTACCACCGAATACCATATGGTATAGAGTTATAATATCAATATATATTATCTAAAAGAAAAAAACAGAAGAAAGTAGAGAAAAAATCGTCTTGTGTCGCCTCTCATTTCCTCTTCCGCAATCAAGAACACCAAAATGCCGAAAAAATGAGAAAGATCGAAATTGAGGGCAACGAGATAATGAAGAGAAGAAATGCAATGAAAAAGAGTGGCTGCAATTTTTATTCGTTATGGAAAAAAATAAAGAACAAGAGAAGAGAGCAGATTTAGATCTAGAAATGAGATTGAGAGAGAAAAAGGAAGAGAGAATCTGAAAAAGAGATTGGGAGAGAAAAAGGAAGAATGAAGGAAGATAGAAAGCTGTAGAGAAGTGATTTATCTTTCCTTCTTTAAAAATGCAACTATTAAATACGAAATAAAATAAAGAATTTAATGTATAAACGGACAAAAATACCCTTCCTCCACTCAGCATCCGGTCCAACCACACGATTGACTGCCTCTTTAATCTACGGTCCCTATTTATTACTGACATGTCAGTAACTGCCCAGTCGCCCGACATACGATTATGATCATTGCCCAACCATGATCTGATCACTCTCCCTGATTATTGTTTTTAGTTGTAGCTTATGTGTTTAAAAGAAAATAAAATCCCCCAATAGTCTCTTTCTTTCTTTTCCCGAGTCCTTGTGAAGTTACAAAGGCAGTGTCCGAGCGTGATTTGTTTGCCCAAGTGTCACCGCTAATCTGCTCTGTTGGTCGGCAAGAATAACAGCTACGTTGTCATCATTTCGATCGTCGTCAAGCTTCTGTTTATCTCCAGTTCACAAGATCATATTCATTTTGGTCAGTCTTTTACTACAATCCCAGGTTCGTGCACGCAGTCTTCTCGGTATTATTTCGCATCAAGTATCCGGAATATTGGACATGGGAATTTTGGGTTCTGTTTGTCTTCAAGTGAATTTGGGTTGCATTTCGGATTGGATTGCTTCGTTAAGTGGATATGAAGTAATTTGATGCAGTTTTGATTGGTTGGTTATGGTGGAGATTGGAAAAGATTTCAGCTGGAATCATTTAAGTTCGTCTCGGTTTGGTTTGGTACAACCATAGGTTTCGTCCCTGTGATTGCTTTGTTTCGGTCATGGAGGTGTTGTTCGGAACACCTTAGTTTGAGATATTGTTCGGACTATCTCAATTGGATAAATGCTGTTCGGAGCATTTTTGGTTCCGTTTCTGTTTCGATGATGCTATTTGGAGCATCATGATCACCATGTTGCTATTCGAAACACGTGGTTCTGTTTCTGTTTCGACGATGCTATTCGGAGCATCCTCATTGCCATGATGCTGTTCGGAGCACGTGGTTCTGTTAGTTCGACGAACTAGACGACTTTGGCAAGACCTTTTTGTTATCTCCAGCTTATCACCATCGACGTTTCACGAGGCATTGGACATGGTCTTCATCGACATCGGCATATTTGGCGGAGCAGTTATGTTTTTCATTGTTTTTTTCAGTCACATTGTTCATAGTAATTTGTGTCGGTTTTGTTTCGGTTTTCAAATTGTTGGTAAGTAATTACCATCAATTTGGGGAGGGTGTTAGAGTATGTGTAGTACGAGTAGTATTATGTTATACTACGAGTACAGTTATGTAATTGGTCAGGATTATATTCCTTATCAGAGTCGTATTAGTGTTAAGGTTTATTATAGAAGTCAATCTTTATACTCTATATAAACTCTATGTAGTGTCAATACTAAGATACAACAGTTTCCACCATATTCTGATTTACTAACAAAAATTCCCCTTTCGGCCTTACCCACCGCCACCGTCCCAAACCTTTACTCCTCCTTCGTCGTTTTGGGCTCCAACCAAGCTAGGCACTGGTTGCAGGGCCAGCCAGGATGGCGATTGGCGCTCCACCATTGCTCCCTTCTCCCTCTCGTCCTCTTCTTTCTCTCTCCACCTCCCACTACCCGTACCCGCTCGAACTAACAAGGCGACATTGAAGATTGAGCCAGCGCTTGCAGACAAGGCAGTTAGATTTCCTCTGGGAGTCGGGCAGGAAAGACAGGATCTTGGGAGGATTTCGTCGTTCAATAGGTGGGTATGATTGACAATGTCAGAGAGATTGGAGATTATGAATGTTTGAAGATTCCTCTGACGAGTTGCAAAGGGGATTAGAGCAGCACATGCCACCAGATCGGAATGGAATGGAAGGAGTGGTGGTGGTGATCGAGTTTGGGAGAACCAGAGGAGAATCCATTTCTGGTAGATGGAGGCTTCAATTTTTATTCCTTGGAAGAGGAAAAGACGACTTTTCATTATTTTTGTTTTCCATATAATTACAATAATAATAAAGTTCCAATTCCATCGGTTATTAGTTTTGAGTTTTGACAAAAAAAAGTGCCACATCATCAAACAACATCAGTCTAGTCAGCATCAGTAAAGTTATCGTTAAGTTTTTGGATGGAATGGCCAAATTAGTGTATTTTTCAAAATTTGGCTATATTTGTCACAAAGTGAATAGTTATGGCTATGTATGTGTATTAAGCCTATCAAATATAAACAAGGAATTTGAAGATGGTTTGGGTGATAGATTTGTTTGGAATCAAATAATTGTTTGTGTAGAATAGGGGCAGTCGTACTTTCTTAGCACCCTATCTAATTTCTTGCTTGTTTGTTTGCTATACTTTTTTTTTTGTTCTTTGCTTAGCTATTGAAAAAAAAAATCTTTTCAATTACAATATTTCCGTTCAGGTTTTGTTTTGTTATATCTAATTTTGTCAGCAATCATATTATCTCGACTCTTATGGTCCATGCCATTGATCAAATTTTAATATGGTTTTAGGATGAGTAAGACACTATTGATTTGTCGATGTTTTCTGTCCATCAATATAATTGCCAGCCATAATGATTGCTAAAATTAAGCCTACACGCAATATTACGTTGGGAGGTGGGGGAAAAATTGTGTTTGGATTTGGTAGCAAGTAAAGTTCAACTACATCAGGTGAAGGCAGAGAAGAGGGAGTTGGTAAGGGTAGTGATCGAATTGAGAAGGGTATTGAAAGACATGGAAGCAAAACTGGAGTAGTTGAAGAGAGAGAAGTAAGAGATGATGAGGATGTTAATGAAAATGGAGAGGGTATTAAAGGGCACGGAAGTAAACTGAACTAAGTGAAGGTAGCCGAGGAGGAGATAAGCATATTGATGGAATTGGAGATGAGGATTGGTTTTACTGAGTTTATTACAACTGCACCTACGGAAGTTGAGTTGGCCAAATACAAGAAGAGGATTGAGGAGTTGAAAAGCTATTTGACAAGAATCCCAATTGGAAGAGAAATTGAGGGAGAAATTGAGGGCCACAAAGAGAAGGTCCATCAAAGTACCAGAAATAGAGTTGCACGAGGAAGATTAGAAAGTGAATTTTGGGTTAAAACAAATGCCTCATGAGATTGAAGATAGAGGGGATAAAAATTTGGTTGTACAACAAAGAGTAGTGGCTATTGAATCTTTAGGTTTATGGTTGTTGCAGCTACCACAACCTAAATCTATCTTAAAACGAGGAATTATTGATTGATTTACAGTAATTAAGGTCAATTCTCTATTTAAGTTACTGGAACTGGTAGATTAAGAGTATATAATTTTGTGTCTTATTACGTTGATCGAGTCTATTAGTATACTAGCTTTATGCACGCCCGAGTGGTTGTGGGTTTCTTCGATTTGTTTAATCTATTTTTATTTATATCAATGGTGCGGGGCTTCTAATTTTATATTTATTTATTCTGATTAACTATTATATGAGTTTCAATTTAAAGAAGGGACAAACATTTTCGTGCGGGTTTCGCGAGGATCAACAATATTAATACCAAACAATAAGAATTGCGACTTCATCACACGTTGGAAGATTATATTCACGACCATCCGATTTTTGATTGGCTAAAACATTTCAACTTCTTAATTTGCACATGGTCTTTCATTAAATTAAAGCTTAATATACCATTATAAATCCTTATGCACTCCCAAGAATGTTTTGCGATTTTGCTATCTAAATCTAATAAAACCTTACGGATTGAGGGGGTTGTTGAGTTGTAAAAAGTTTGAGTATTCCTTGTTAACAACAATGTGAGACTTTTAGAACCGTAAAGTTTTTTGGTTGTGATGTATCTTTTTACATAAGCACCCAAGAAATCAACATGGTTTAGATAAACAAAAGCGAAAGACAACTGCATATTATGAGCATATGATCAAAGTGTAGTTAGAACCCTACACATCCAAACCATACAGCTATTATTCTAATTGTCTTTATATGAGTGATATAAAAACAAATTGTTAGTTAGAGAGACACTTTGCATCCGCTACACATTACTATCAGTGGCATCAAATGTAACGTTGCTTCTTTGTAGCTATACTACCCATCCCTCATAAATATTATAACAAACACCTTACATGAGTTATTGGTGGTCAACATGGAGTAATTTATGAGTTGTGATTGAAAAGGTTGGGGATGTTACAGTTTTGTACTTCTTTTATAGAGGATGGTGTTTATGTTTGAGAGGTGCGGCAGGGTTCCTGTTTGTGGCCTGTTCTTAATGCAATTTTTGATTTCACATAAAAATGTGGGTAAGCAGCTCCACTCCTTTTAATATATTCAACCCAATCATCAAATAAAAAATAAAAATTCCGTATATATAGAAAGAAAATAATATATGGTCATGATGATAAACACGAAAATGACGGTGTCAATAGCTCTGGTCCTACTTGCAAATATCTACAACTTCCAACCACCATAATAAATCTCGTCCGGTTAATTTTTCCAGATGATTAAATAACCTTACGAATACAATTAAGTGAGAGAAGACTCCAAAATAATTGTGATGGGAATTAAAACTCAAAAGGCAAGCTGCTGTCAGAGAATGTCCACTAAACAGTAACCTTCTTACATATAAGTTTCTTAATTTCTTTATCGTTTAACGATAATAGAATTTTAATTCTCATTAATTGTACGTTTATCGACTATGAGTATTGAGTAATTAAGTCCTCCATATCGTTGAAATTATTTATAAAGATGATGGATTCCAAGGTATTAGGTATGGGATCATACGAAAGAAAGAAAGCTATCATGTGGAGAGCAAATACGTGATCATCATGACAAACATTAGAAACATTGCGTCATTTACTCTAATATTATTCTTCGTTGTTAATATTGGCCCACAGTTATGCACCGCAGACACTTTTTATAAGCGTTGCACAGGGCTGGAACATGTTAGTGTTGTGGTATATGATCCACGATTGAACTTCTCCCAACAACTCGAGTTATTGGGACCAACTGGTTCTTGACAGAACACATGCCCATTAACGCAAGTCCTGTGCCTCGCGTTGACCCGGATGCTATTGAAGCGACTTACAGAGAGTGTGAGAATCATTGTGGACATCTTCTTCAAGGGAGTCTGCCAAAAGATGCTCCCAAAATTAAACCCTTCAAATTTCTATAAAATTTGATAAATAAACTATTGCTATGTGTGCATGAGAAGATTAATCGCCCCCGTTCGCTCCACATAGAAAATAAAATATGTATTAAATGTATGGTTGCATTGGCTTCACCTAGATAGAACAAAGATGTTTATTTATCTATTCAATAAACTGATATAAAATTTTAGTAAGTAGTCAAGAGATTTGGTGATTTACATCTTGGAATTTTCCCCCAAATATTGGATAACTTTTATTATTTTTCTGCCGGATCCAACCTATGAACCTCTCTAACCATTTTAGTTGTATTAGTTATATATAGCCATCATATTTTTTTATAAGGATGATGAAATTTTGTTAACAAAAAGGTCTTTAAACAAGTAAACAGATCACAAGAATTGAACCAAGGAAACCACAAACGTAAAACAACATAAGAAAAAGAAAAAGAAAATAAACTATTGAAGTTTTTGTTCTATGGGCAAGGAAGTTGCAGTATTGAAAGTTAGTTTTTTAGAAAGTGATTACATATAGGATAGGCGCCACACAATATCTCGCCATTAGTAACATTCTTGTATCTTTTTAGGAAAAAAAAGCAATATTTACTTCCGTTACCGCTGAAAACGAGAGAAAAAAGTAACTATTGTATCATTTACGTTTACCAAGTATGAGTAGTTAAATCCAACAAATATTTTAGCTTGATTAATTATAAAGATGATCAATTCCTGGTAATCACAACCTATAAAAGAAACCAACATGTTAGTTTGAACAAGACTCGATCGTCCATATGAATTGAGAGCAGGTATATGATCATGATGATACCTAAAGCAAAACTGTACTATCATGAGTTCTCCAATGTTGCTCTTCATTGTATATATTGGTTCTCGTCTATACATGCACCGCAAACACTTTTAACACTTATTTTAAGAAGCTCGACACTTAGGGGTCGTTTGGAGAATATGAGTTTAAATCTATAGATTGTCAACAATCTAAAGATTCTAATTTTTCAGATTGTTGAAAATAGATTTTAAAATGTTTATTGTTTAGTAACTGTGATTCTTAACATTTAAAAAAAAATAAAAAATTTAATTTTATATTAAATAACGTGTTTATCCTTAATAAAAAATTAGAATGGTTCGAGAAATATAAAAAAATTTGTTGATAAATATATTTAATATGATAAATAAATAAAATAAAAAGAAAAGGTAGGAGAAAAAAATCGTACGAATCATGATATAGAATCTATCTGATTATGAAAGATTTGATATCCGTAGATTTTAGAGAATGATTCTACAAAATCTATGGATTCAATGAATCCACGCCCTAAATTCCGATTCTCCAAACAACTTCTTAATTCAAGAAGCTCCATTAGCATTGTCGACACATGGAAATAACATATTTATAGCTATCATCATGTGGTTGTGTATTCATAGTGTTTCCATCCCTAATTAATTCCCAGTATCATGAAGCCAAATGACAAGCTTTCCCCTTAATTTCCGTCACTAGCAAGCACCTTCTTTTTATAGGTCTCTCCACTTATACATTTTCATTCATTTGTCTTCCTGGGAGATCTCTCTAGCTACATTTGTTTGGAGTTCATTCTGAGTTGATTATGTGTTTTGTGGTTTATGTCTTCACCCGTTCTTGGTATAGTCGGTCAGAAAGAAACCGAACAATTAATTTGAAATCATCACAGTAATTCTCTCTGTTACAAGGAGATCGAGAACCTCCACTCCCAACTCCCCACCAAGGAGATGACGAACTGTTGGTCACTGAGTTCCTTGACATGCAACTGTTGTCTCGGTTCAATTAGCTAGTCTATACTCTTTGTATTTAAAGCGTTTCAATTTCCATTCTATGTTGATGATCTTCATTCGTTTCCCCGTTAGTGTCATTTCATATACAATGCAACTGTGGTGAAGCCGGCGCATGCAAGCATTAGACATTCTACATTTTTGGTATTCACGATGATGGGTTTATTAAATATTGGTATAGTGAGAACTTCAATAAAATCGTTCTCAGGAGACAAAGATTATTTGCGTTTAAATATCACTTATTTGCATTTACAATGTAGTGGATAAAGCATATACGTTATTTGCATCATTTGTCTTTGTCTCGGACTGCTTTTAGAGACAAATATAGGCGCAAATAATATCTTCCTCTAATAATGAAAATTAAGGCAAATGTTTTGTTGGTAATTCTATTTTTAAAAGCATAATTTCCTTTTGTTATTTACTTATATATATAGATATTTTTTTTTTGTAAATTTTTTTTTTGAGACCATTATAATTTCTTCTTAAAAAATCATAGATACATAAATATATATCTCTAATAAATATAATTTGAAGTAGGGGTGGCTATACGGTCCGGTCCGGTTAAATTGGCCCAAACTGATCCTGTCCACTCCGGTCTTTTTGAAAATATAAGGACCAATGATTGGATTTGATACAGTCCGGTCCCAATTCGGTCTTGATTTTATATTGAGCTTGTGGAGATTTGAGTGGACTAAGGCCTGAAAGGGTGAGGAGTTGGTTAAGTTTTGTACTAAGTGCAAAGGTTTGTGGCCGTTTATGCAAATTACTCTTAAATTTTGGGTGTTGAGCACTCTTATCCGGTCTTTATCCAGTTTTTGATCCGGTCCCGAACGGTTTTTTACCTCAAATCTAAGCCCAAAGATTGGATTGAATTGTTTACTATCCTGTCCCGGTCCGATCTCAGTCCGGGTTATACAGTCCGATTTCGGGTAAAACCAAAAAATCCGGACCAAATAGCCAGCCCTAATTTGAAGCATATGTTTAAGTATGTACATTAAGTTTTAGATGATTACAAGTTACAATTGTCTCCAAAAACACACTTGATAGAATATTCGTTTTAATTAAAGGGTAAATTGCAAGGTTGGTCACTATAATTATAAAAAAAAATTCACGTTTGATCACTAAAAATATTTAATTTCATTCGTGGTCACTAAAATTAGTTAAACAGTTTAAGTTTGGTCATTCTCCGTCCAATTTCGTTAACTTTTGCTCATGTGGCGGTCAATTTTAAAAGTTGATCGTTAAATGTGACATGACAATTAAAAAATAATTTAATAATCAAAATTTTCCACCTCAATAAAATTCTAAAATAAAAATAATTTACTTTACGTCTTTACCCACTAACGCACAAATCGAGGGTCTCCTCCGTTGCCGCAATTTCGCCTCCGCCACTCCACATCGCCTCTTCTTGACCACGCTGCTTCAACTGTCAACA